GTGAGGCCAAATAATTGAGTCACCTGGACTTCCTTTTTCCTTTGGGCTCTGGGTATTGCAAGCTGGAGAAGATGGGTAATTAGGGGAAGTATGGGTAAAAGGATAATTTGAGTATTTAGCTTAATATCTCTATAGTTGAAAGGATTTAATGGTGTCTTGTGAAATCAAATAACAGTTTTCCTTTTCCTATTCTACATGCATCGATGGATCTGCATCCAAGAAGCAAGTGGTGTGGATGGTCTGTGATGCAGGTTTCTAATTCGGACAAGAAAGAGAGGGAGGAAGGCGAAGACAGAGAGAAGAGAGGCGAAAGGGTAAGAGAGAAGAGCAGAGGAGTTTAGGGAGAAAAGAGAGAGGATAAAAACTGAATAGTGCACTGCATTAGTCTCACATGATCACACCACAACACAATTACAAATAGGCAAATAAGTCTCTGTATATAGAGGCAGTGGTGTGAGTCTAACGGCTATTAAGTAATCAGTGGTTATTTCCTTACTACCCATCAGAATTCTTTTCTTCATCATTTACAATATTACTCCTTCTAGTCCTATTTATACAACAATAACAACAAAGCCTTATCCCACTGGGTGGGGTTAGCTACATGAATTGCACGATGTCAAAATGTTAATTAGTTTGGTTCTCTTTATAAGATTCTACTAAGGATTGTCTAAATGTGTTTTTACCAATTTTGCCCTTAATTAATTTTTTATTTTCTTTCATCCTTTATCTCATAACTGTTATTTCTCTCTCTTATTTGCTCCTCATTAAATAAGGACCTACTTGGAAAAAAGAGGTTTAATTTTTACATATTTACTGCTTTTAACTAATTTTAACTGTTTTCTTAAACTGCGTAATTTAATTAATAGGATCTTGTAAAAAGGACCGGAGGGAGTATTATTACACAACAGACTGTATATAATGCATGAGTTCCTTGCTTGGCTGGATGTTTCAATAAAAAGTCAACTAGACAGCTGGCGCACTTGTTTTTCACTCTATAGAAGTGGCACCAGCTCCTTAAAATAAGGAAGAAAAGAATAATGGCAAGGTATGTTTTGATTAGTAATTAAGGGAAGGGCCCAAAGACATTAATCCAATGGATCCAACGGATGAGCCAATCTCTAACTGCTATTCTCATCAGTGCCTAGTGGGTCAACTACTTTCTAACAATTAATAGCACCTTCCTGATCTTGACCGTTCTTATGCACTACAACTGACAAGGATGGGAGGATTGTTCTGACATTAATAAGGTAGCTATGGTTGTTCTCTAGAGAAGTCCGTTATGCCTGTTACTAGCTGTTGGGGGTGGTCCCTGATGCTGTATAAAGGGAGTTGGACATCTGTATTCGTTCCATATGAGAATGTAAGAGTATTTTAGAACTCAGTACCCAATACAAAGAGGACTAGCAATCCTCGCAAGATAAAAATACGAGCTTAAAAGAACTTCCCAATCTCCTCGTTCCTCTGGCTTGTGCAACATGCATATGTCATCCATCTCACATCTTAGTTGTATTATAGATTAAGAGTAAATGAAAAATGAAAAAATTACACATCTACCCTCTGCCTAAATTGAGCATCTTGTGCTTATGCATCTTGTTTTTTAGTACCCATACAAAATATTTGATGATCTTAATTTTGCATCGACTTTTAAGAATGGGTTTATACTTATTTCCTTGTTCTGTTGCATTTATGCTATAAAGTTACTCATTCCCTGAAACTTTTTGTGCATTCTCATGTTGTCTTTGTTAATATAGAACAGTCCTGGTCTTCAAGCCACCCTAATTAATAGTTATGATGTGATATGGTACAGTTTCAGGAGAACATCGACCTCTTTTGTCAAACAAGGCACAACATCAGTACCATCCTTAATGAGTATGTGATTCTTATCCAATATACTGCCAATATCATGCAAGTTCATTCTCATTCGGATTGGATTTGAAGTTTATTGCTCTGTGAAGTTCATTAACAATTCTTGTGCAGCATGAGAGAGATGCCTGGCATAATGAGCCAAATGCCCCCATTGCCTGTTTCCATCAATGAGGATCTCGTGAGTCGTATATTATCTAATAAAACGTAGGTGAGTTCCTGTTTATTTTATCGCATATTTGGTCCTCTTTTTCTGGGGGTGTACATTGTGCTCTGGTTCCACGTGTGTTGTTGTGTGTAAGCCCATGCTCCTAATTAAACTTATTGCCCATGGGCAAATAGAACAGGCTTGAGATATAAAAAGAAAGCAATAAAAAGAAAAGAAAATACAGTTCACTTATGACATTCTTCTTGCTGATCAATTATCATAAAATGGTTCAATTACTTATTCTTCACCAGAGATTCTCATTCTCTGCTAACTTGCACTGAAAATCTGGAAACTAAGTTAATTTTGGTTTAAACTGAGGTTTCTGTGACAAAGAAACTTTGTTAAGAAAAGGCATTGATCTTCTGCCGAGGTGTATGCTTATTTTTGATAAATTGCCAATGTGCATGCTGTAGACAATGTAATAAAAGACACCAATAACTGATGATAGTTGTTATTAGGTTCACCCAACCTGTAGTGGAGCTAATTCATTTTTAAACAAAAAATTGGAGCCTTAACGTGTAAAAAGATATTTTATCCCATAGTGTTGTGTTAATCCTTATTTGCAGCCTCATCTCAATTTTTTTTTTAAAGATCAAGTTCTGGTATATCCTCCATAGGCCGTCAATTACTCAGTTGTTGATCAATGGGATTAATGAGATTGAGCAATACCGGAATGGTTATTCATCCTTTAGTTGTCACCATATAAGCTGAGATTGCTGAGGTTTTAAATGTAGAGTGATTTTAGTTTATTTGTTCCTGCTTGATTGGGGGAAAAGCTTTTTTACATAAATCTGTTCAGGCCGTCAAATTTTACAACTTGTTCTTGAAATGACTTCTATGACAACTGAGATAAAATGCGCTTTTGGCTGCCGGCATTGTGCTTTTGTTATTTTGATTATCTGAAAGCCATGTTCTTTACGGACATATCTGTGAATGAAAGTACATAAATCATACTTAAAAGATTGATTTGTTTGTGTTACCGATTTAAGAGGGTAAGTCGCCGACTCCATCAAGATTGCAATTTGCAAGATAGCAACCCGGAAGCGCACCATCGGTTTAGAAGTTCATTCTCATGTGGAAGTCTGATCTGCAGATTTTTTGGTGCTGGCTGCATGCATGCGGGTTGAGGAGCCTTGAGCATAACTGATATCTGCACAACTTCATGGTTTTGCCAGGGTTTTTAATCTTTGATCTAACTGCTTCCTGGTTCTATTTATTGTCTAAAGGGGAACTTGTACTCCGTCTGTATAAATAAAATTATTTCTTTCAATCAAGTAGGAAAGCCATTATTGTAAGAATGCTCTGAGCTGAATGCACCTTCATTGGTTACAAAGTATTGGCATTTGAATGATGACGTAGGAACTGTAGATCTGTCATGTTCTTCTTCCCTGGATTTTTTTAAAGTTGCACAATGATTGAGTTTAATGGTAAATAGCTGTTTTGTAGAAAGCAGTTTGTTATTCTCACGATTTGTCACCTGTTCATGAAGGGATGTTTGGAGGTATTTGGATGAAAACCAAACCATAATTTTATAAGTAATTTTACGGTATACGAAATAAATATGTAGAGAAATTTGTCTCTATTTGCAGAAAAATATTTTTAAAAAGCATTTATGGAGGAACCCAAACACTTCCTTGATCTGTTTGCCTTATCTAGAGATTATACGTTCATTCGGATCGAATGTGGTCATACAAAGTACAAACTCCTTGCAAACATGGAACCTACCGGGGATTCAGCCGGGATCCAAATTCAACTTCTTTCCTATTTGTTTGACTCAAGTTCTTAATGCCCTCTGTGAGTAATCAACTCAGCAACTAATATGTTTACATATGGTCCTATGAGCAAATCAAAATAATATTAAAATAATTTGTAGAGCTTTATGTAATTGCATTTTTAAAAACAAATACTATTTCTTGTTCTAAATATAAGATGTAATTTATAGTGTAATTTGTATTATAAATTAGATTTTATATTTAGGATATGTTGAATCAAATTCTTCAGTCAAAAAGTCTAGCGAAGTGCCATGGCATTGGCTGGCTGGCTAATAGGCCCATTATGAAATTCAGGGTTGTTATATGATTTGACAAAGTTTATTTTGATCTTAATTGAAAATAAAATCAATCTTAAACTAGCACTTAAAATTTACCGGTGTTTTGACCCTTTTCCTGTAAACATACTGGCTGAGACACGCGGATGGCCTTTCAAGAATAACTAATGAAAACAAGCACAGGGCAAGGCCACAAATTTCTTCTGTCGGCAACCAAGCAAAATGTCCTAAACTTTTGACCAGGGTTGTCTTTAATATGCTGCTGTTCTCAAGAAATATATTTGAACAACCAAAACGAAATTTCTAAAATGCCTCTTTCTTTTATCAGATTTTTTTTTTCAAATGATTATGCAATATATTTATATTTTTCAATGGGAAATTTTCTCTCACAATTAAAACTTATCTTTAGATCTTTATGATCAAAATTTATAACCTCTTGGGAAAGAAAGTAGGGAAGAGAGGATTCAAACCATTGGGTTAGATTTAAGAGCTTAGAGTGTACAGGAATGAAGTGGTTATTAATGAAATGTGCCCTTGTTTAGGAGTTTTACAAGCAACAGTCACGTATAACCATTAAGAGTCCATTTGGAATAGCTCATAAATAACTATTTAATCATGATTTATAGAATATGAAGTGAATATGTCAAAAGACTTTTATTTCAATTGTGTGAAACGTGTTTATAAATATTTTTTAACACTATTTTAAACAGGTCCTAAGTTATTTTAACATGAATGTAAAACCAAACCGATTATAACTTGTCTTCTAATATTAACTTTTGTCTTTGTGAGTGAATTCAGAGAAAAAAGCCACGTTTTTTTGGTTATTTTATCTTTTTCATATTATATGACAACTTGGTTAAAAATTAAAATACGCTCCTCCTCTTAGAACAACAAATACAGGAATTTTATTCATAATTTTGTGTTTTTACATAAATCTTCTGAAATTGTGTGACGAATGTGCGGGGTCATCGAATATTTTTCATCATAATCACCCCGAGACAATCCAGAGATCCATCTCTTCATGGAAGATACATGAATAATTCATTATATTTGTCAACGTAGGAGAGATTCAGAATTGATACAAAACAACAGGCTGCAATACTTATGAGATTCGTACAGCTTCCTGTTTGTTTGTGCCATCAAATTGCAAATTCTGCAACACTACATGTTCATCCAACTTGAATCCCGCAACCTCGGCCTCCCTGCAAATATCTCTGCACTTTGCTTTCCTCCCAGCCACCCAGTAAATTTGAAGCATGTCCTTGTATATGTCATAAGTAGGAGAAAATCCCGCTTCTTTGAGTTTTGAAAAATATCTCCCAGCTCTGGATTGGTCATTCAAAGCAGCAAACAGCTTTATTGTCACACGATAAGCTGGAAGGTCAAAGAGACAATTTGAAGCCTCCATTTCCCAAACCAAAGCCAATGCCTCCCTGTATTTTCTCTCTTTGTAACGACTGTGAATCACAGTAGTAAGCATCACTATGCTCGGATCACGGCCTGAGTGTTTGAACCAACCGAACAGGCTCTCCACTACATTAAATTTCCCCATCTTGGTGCACACTTTCATGATAGCTGTACAATCTTGCTGGCTCAAATTCAATTCTTCTCGTTCACCAAGTTCATCTAACAAGGGGATCATTTGCATGTGTTTACCAGGGTTCTTTCCGAGTTCTAGTACTAGTTTTGCATAAATGCCAGGATCCAACATTCTTTTACCTTTTCTGGCAACTACTAGAAACTTCCATGCGAGCTTAAGGCTTCCTCCTTTAGTAAAACCCCTAACCATCGCCTCCAGGACAGCACGGCTAGCCATCCGGATAAATTTTTTGAGGTTGAAAGGAACCTTAAGTTCATGGTTCCTAGCCAAGACCTCGATTGTTGAAGCTAGAATTCGATCATCTGGGAAGAGTTCACGCTGTTTTTGTGCCCAGCAAAGTGTTTGCAAGGCTCTCCCAGGACATCCCATATGACCTAATTCCCTTATTGTCAACGACAGCGAACCCTTACGCAGGAACTGCGCTCTTTTGCGAAGAACTATGGATACATCTTTGTCTGGATCAAGTTCGCTGATCTCTCGGGCTAGGTCAACTAAGAAACTTGGGTCTTTGTACAATTTCTTAGATATGGATGCACGATGAGAAACTGCAGCTGGATCTGTCAATCTGACTTGTTTCTTGGGTGTGGGCATTCCCAAAGGTCTAAGTTTGTGGGGAAGCGGGAGAGGAAGAGGCCTTTCTCTATCTAGCTTTCCAGGTTTTTGAGAAATTCTACCCTCAAAAAGCGATGAAACCGCTTCAATCTCATCTGCTTCCCAAACAACACGAGTATCTTCTTCATCTTCATTAGCCATATTTAATCCCTTATTGACGCTCAAGTCCTCCTGAACAGGCACTGAGATGCTGCCATTCTTCTTCAGGAATAAGTTTACACCAAATTCTGGTGGCTGCTTGGGGCGCCGGGAACAAGGAATGTTCTTAGGTAGTCTTCTCTTGCCATTCGAATTGGCCATTGAAATAAATCCATGACATCTGCGCGAAGTTCTATCCTTCGAAGAAACAATCCCGGTATGCACCGGCACAATGCTATTCATTACCCAAAAGTGAAGAACAAGAGGGTGCGAGCTGCAATGTGGTCGAGGGTCAGTGGAGAAAGTGGACAGGGCCATCAAAAACGTATAATTGAAAATTCCAGTTCCTGCAACTTTACGAAGGAAGGGATTGCTGATAATACGATAACATGAGTTGAACTTACAAGTCCAACCCGTTAAAAATGACGGGTAAAAGTTCGCTAAAAATCAGCCCGTTAATCTGTACCATCAGCCTCTGTTGCGGGTTAACCAGTATTTATTTATTTATTTTAGCAAATTTTTAATTATTATAATTATATGATTTTATATTATATTCTTTCTAAAAATTAAAAAAAACACGTGTATACTTTATTTGATGCTTTGAATCAAATATTTTAAAAAAATCCTATTACATTTTTTTGGATATTATATAATAAAGAACAATTAAAAAGAAAAATTTTTGAAAAATAAATAAATAATTAGTAGGGGGTCAACGCACCAATCCATTTTGAGGGTTAGGGTTCAACCAACCCATCTTCAAACAACTCGTGAGTTGACCCGTATTACTACTTTTAGGTGGAGATAATGATATTTTAATTTTAAAATATGAAGTGCTCTTCAATTAACATGGCTTCTGAAGCAATGCCTCTTTGTTACCGAGATCTCAGACTTCTCCTTGATGCAATTTCCAATTCCAGCCACCTTTTCTTTGTTGTTGTGATCTCAAAATTTCAGGGCCTTCTCTGTCTTTGGTTGCCGACTACAAGAGGTGTTAGTTGGGAGCAAATGTGCTGATTATAAAAGAGGGATTAGGGTTCTTTTGAGTTCCATTTGGTTTTCTTCTAGTTTTTACCCTTCTTTTGATTTTAGAACTTGAAATTTTCTTTCTTTTAATTTTTTTCCTTTTGGAAGATGAATTGATCTAGTAGCCAGTATGACAGCTTGATTAAAATTTTAATAAGGTGTCTCTTTTTGATTCGTCGGAGTTGATGTGAGATGGCAATCTAAGAGGAAGGAGCATATTCTCTTAGCGGCCTCTTTCTCAGTATCCTTCAAAATCTCAAAATCTTGTTTGTTGAAATAATCTAATGGCTCACAGCACGTCCATTTTCAGAGTCTTCAAAACACTGCAGAATACTTCAAATGCAAAGAGTAAAGATGATAATATGGGTTGAACCTACGTAAAAAATGATGGGTTAGGGTTGGTCAAAAGCCAACCCATTAGTAAACAAGCCTTTTTAACTTGCATCACTAGGCCCACAACCCGCCGTTGGTTAGTCTGCCAACCCACGGGCTAAAATTTTATAATTATTATAATTATATTTTATATATTATCCTATCTAAAAAATTAAAAAAATACCTATATAATTTATTTGGTTCTTTCGATCAAATATTTTAAGAAAAAGTAAAAATTTTATTATATTTTTTTGGATATTGTATAAGAAAAAAATATTAAAAAGTAAAAAAAAATTCAAATAAAATAATAAATAAGTGTTAGCGGGTCAACCAACCACTCAACCTTACCAACCACTCAACCTTGGCTGGTTAGGGTTGGCTAAAAACCAACCCGCCTTCAAAGAACTTTTTAATCCAATCCATATGGGTTCAACTCGTCATGGACCAACCCGTAACACGCTAAAGTGGGATGGTGGGTTAGCCCGTATTACCAGTCCTAACAAACAGAGTGTTGAACTCCTTTAATATTGTGGTAGAGTGTCGAGTAAAACTTCAAGTATGAACACATTCAAATAAAAATAACTCATTTTTACCATATAAAATCACATTCTTTGACTTTTTTCTCATAGCCACTATCACAAATATCTCCAGGAATGGATTTTTTCAATCCGAACAGAAAACGAAGTATAATTAAACCCGCTAGCCCTTTTTTTTCAACATGGATAATTTATTTTGTTTTCCCTTTTTCTTTTAAAAAATAGACCCAAAGCCTACTCACAATGGCAAAATTGGTTTTGCATATGATACTTTTGTTTGAGCTTCCATTTGCTTTGATTCCACTCCACTGCTCAAGTTAGTGACAGCAGCACCAAGGTGGGACCTCACAAGAATTTTATCATTGTGAGTTATCCTTTTGTCCAAAGTTAGGCTCCAAATAACTAACCATATCATTTTATTGATAAATGAAATGCAGCGGATCACTGTGATTTCATGGGTCCTAGGCTTGTTAATCATTGGCAACGTATACCAACTAAGCACAGGTTTTGTGGACTGGTTAATTCACGACAGTCTCTCCCAAAAGTTGCAAATGCATTCATTGGGATCAGGCAACTTAATTTATTTTCTGTTCTGATCACTATCCTAGGATTTTTTCATAGCCAATGTCAAAAATATGTACACACAACTAAAACTGCTTTTTTGTGTAACTATATGTAATTTTCCTATCCCTTAGATTGCCCAACAACATCGTTGGAAGTGTTGGAAGAAGAGGAATTTATGTTGTTAGGTACTAAAAAAAATGGAGATAGAAATGTGCACAAGCTGCCAAATATAACTGCCACTCTCTGATAGACTCTCTACCATTCAAATATGTTCTATTACAACTTTTTCATTACCCTATACAAATATCTACATTGCTCTTCTTTCTTCTTATTAATGACCATCTTCCACAGCTTCAACAATGTCCAATCAATTCTTAGCCGGTGAAAGTTCATCTTCTATAGCTTCAACAATGTTTAGTTAGCATGAAGGATAAGATAGCCATTACCTGCAATGACAATTCAAAATCAAGTAAGTAATTCAGTCATTCAATCCAACAATTTTTTTTTTTTTTAATAATCAACTCAAACAGAATATACATAGGGAGAGTTTATCTCACATATCTCTCATCTTTGCTCCCCATATAAAGATGCTTCACTATCAGTCTTGAGAGTTCGATTTCTTTTTGTTCAATCCAACAAGTGCCTATTTTTCTTATTATGATGACTGAGATGGAAGCAAGTTCTGATTATAGCAGTTTTTAATTGTACAATGTGATACCTGACTTCAGCTACTTCAATATGACAAGAAGATATATTTTCTTCAAAATAGAAACATGCTTTGTTTAATATACATATATATATATGTAGTTAGTTCAATATGGCCATAGCATCTCTTGATTGCTGTGGCTAATTTCTTTAATATTATGAAACAGAGATCAGGTATATTCTGCCAAATTTACAACTTTTTCATTACCCTATACAAATATCTACATTGCTCTTCTTTCTTCTTATTAATGACCATCTTCCACAGCTTCAACAATGTCCAATCAATTCTTAGCCGGTGAAAGTTCATCTTCTATAGCTTCAACAATGTTTAGTTAGCATGAAGGATAAGATAGCCATTACCTGCAATGACAATTCAAAATCAAGTAATTCAGTCATTCAATCCAACAATTTTTTTTTTTTTTTAATAATCAACTCAAACAGAATATACATAGGGAGAGTTTATCTCACATATCTCTCATCTTTGCTCCCCATATAAAGATGCTTCACTATCAGTCTTGAGAGTTCGATTTCTTTTTGTTCAATCCAACAAGTGCCTATTTTTCTTATTATGATGACTGAGATGGAAGCAAGTTCTGATTATAGCAGTTTTTAATTGTACAATGTGATACCTGACTTCAGCTACTTCAATATGACAAGAAGATATATTTTCTTCAAAATAGAAACATGCTTTGTTTAATATACATATATATATATGTAGTTAGTTCAATATGGCCATAGCATCTCTTGATTGCTGTGGCTAATTTCTTTAATATTATGAAACAGAGATCAGGTATATTCTGCCAAATTTAGTTAGTCCAAATATTTTATATCACTTGTGTCTAAAGGCAACCAGCAAGCATCTTTTACAGACATTCAACAACATCTTTACCTCAAAAAGTTTCATGTTCGAATGTTTGGCTAAAACATCCAGGACAGCAGGTTTGGCATATTCCTACAAAAACGCACAACTTAAAACTTCAGCATAGGTGATTGGTTCCCATATTCAAATCTCAAATGTAACTAATTAAAGAATTAGACTTAGGTTTGAACTTTGAACATAGTTATCAGGTTTTTCATTAGAATTATACATGCGCAGAAACTTTTTTAAAGGTCAGTAATGTAGGGATGGTGCATACGTTATAACTTTCATCGGAGGGATTGACGTGACACCTAATGATAATGCAAGTCCTCGAGCTTATTTTTTCCCCCTAAAATAGATCGGCATATTCTATCAGCACTAACCTTTATGCAGAAGATCATAAATTTGTCTGTTCACATTTATATACCTCTTGTAACAAAGCTCGCTTTTCAGAAAATACTACCAAATTAAATGTACCAAAAGATTAAACCAATTGCAGTTACACATGTGCAGCATCAAGAAAAAATGGGGGAAATCATTTGAGCAAACAAGCACTCAACAATCAAAGAATAAGGGAGTGATGGAGAAAAATGATGAAGACATAGAGGAAGAGGTGTAATATAGATTACCTGATCATGGGGAACGGCGGAGCTTCCTATCTGTGTCGGAAATCCCTGTTTGGATTACCGAAAGGGGCTGGACTTCGATGTGGCAGAACGTGAAACTGGAAGGGCGAGGTCAGAGTTGAAAAGCTTCATGATGTGGCCTTTCGTGAGCTCTCAGATTAATCGAACGGATAGACTTTAAAGATTCTGAGAGACAATGAGGAAAAGGCCGCTGAGGGGATTTGGGGCACCAGCTTTTCTCTTCTACTCTTCATCATCTTTTCCTCCTCCAACCAAAACTATGTCGTTTAGGATATTAAAATTGAAGGCTATCATTTTTTTTTTTACTAGCATTTAGTATTCTAAAATAATTTTTAATGCACCTGACACCTAAAAATATTTCTCAATAATGCTCAATATTTAGCAAGCTACACTCTTAACTATTTTTCCAATAGCTTTTGGTATTCTAAGAATGTTGATTTGAAAAAAAAAGGTGGCAGCCTTCAATTTTAACATCCAAAACAGCATAGCTTTGGGTAGAGGAGAAATCGAAATCGATGGTAAGAGTAGAGGAGGAAAGCTTATTCCCAATTTTGATTGTTGTAAATGAACTCTTCTTTGTGGAGTGAAGTTTTTTTTTTAAAAAAAAATTATTATCACTACCTATGATTTAGAATCATTTTAAGTAACTTATAATGCAAAATATAAAAGCTATATAAGAGCTAGTTAGAGAATTATCTTTAATTTTAATATAAAATTTCAATTCATTTTATCTTTTATATTGATAATTTTTTCTTTTTAATTTATTTAACTTGTAAATTAATGTATAATCTAAAGTTAGATAGGGTATTTTAAAGAAAGAAAAGAAAAATCTTTTACTCTTTTTAATTTTGAACTCACTTATAACTCAATTCTTGAAATATGACTTTAACTCACTGATAATTCAATTATTAAAATATGATTTTAACTCATTTATAACTTAATTTTTGAAATATGACTCAATATGACTGAGTCCTAAACTTTTAACTTGTTTAAAACTCACTTCTTATCTTTTTATTTTGTCTAGAAGATGATCCTTATCAAGCCAACTCATCACTAGGTCATCATCTCCATCACGGTCAACCTCCCTCAATCTCTACGGTGCTGCTACTGATTCTGGGTCATCACGATGGACTCATTTTAATGTTATGGCCTCGAGGTAGCATGTTAGGATTCTAAGACAAAATTTGTGAGGCAATTCCATGTTTTGTGAGGAGATTTAGGAGCATGCTAGGTTCTATATACAAATGGTAATTTGATAAGTGCTATTGCTTATCTAGAAGTCAGGTTAAGAGCATTAGAATACAGGACCTGCTGATGTACCATCATTGTTAATCAATGTTGATCCTTTTTACTTAAAAAAGAAAAAATAGTTTGTTGTATAATTATACGTAGTAGAATTGAGTCTGCTACTGTGAAGGATTCATTCTTTTCAAGTGCTTCTTTCTAGCTCTTCTATTCCATCACATTCTTGAGTGTATAGTGAACTGACCATTAACTTTGAAGCCCTCTTGGATTATCTCGAGCATGCCAAAAGTAAAAGAATAGCGACTTTATAGTACTTGACCATCAAACCAAGTTGATGCGTTTTAAATTTGGGAGAGTGGACCTAAGTCACCAAACCTGCTTTGGTTAGGTTCATGATGTATGGAGAATACTCAACTAACTCGAGGCAGAAATCAGCACTAAAGATGAGGCTTAAAATCTCTGATAAGGATCTCACATGCAAGAACGGATAGCGCTAGGAATGAGAAAAGAGGGAAAATTACTAGGATGTGAGGCATAATCTGCAACTTGTATTGCAACATCATGATGGGGCACTTGTACAGCCACAACTTCAGTGCTATGGAAGCAACACAGGAACTGTTAGCCGTTATCAACAATAACAACAAAATCTTATCCCACTAGGTGGGGTTGGCTACATGGATTGCACGACCCCATTGAACCCTATCTAAAGCCAAATCTTTAGATAGATTGTTAATTGAAAGATCTCTCTCAATGACTTCAATCTGTCAGCCTTCATCAATGTTGAATAAATAAATGAGAATCTTCAATCCTATAAGCATGACCAGCTAGTTTTAATTGCAATAATACATTCTCCAAGATCGAACAAACACTAGAAGACTCCTCGTGTGAATGGTCGAAGGCCTTAAACTCGTGAATTAAACCATTCACTTGTATCCAACTACATCCTGAAGTTTTCTCTACTCCTTTTCCTTTCATGAGCTTTCTTACCTGCGCAACTGCTTCCCATTTTTGAGACATCGAGTAAAAGTTTGCCAGGAGTGCATAAGCACCACCATGATTTGGATGCAGATTGATCAAATATTGTTTCCTACATGTTCACCCAACTCAAAATTTGTGAATCATGCAGGCACCAAATAAAGCCCCCACTACCCCAGCGTTTGGCTTCATTGGCATCTCATCAATCATTCGCTTTGCATCTTCTAAGTATCCTGCTCGCCCTAGTAGATCAACCATGCAACCATAATGGTCCATGCTAGGCTCCATATTATAATCATGTCTCATCATTTGAAAGAGCCTTTTCCCCTCATCTACTAATCCTCCATGAGAGCATGCGCTGAGAGCAGCAATAAAGGTGACTTCATTTGGTTGAACTCCGCTCCTTAACATGCATGAGAATAGCTCCAGCGACCTCAAGGCATTCCCATGAACAGCCAACCCATTTATTATGGCTGTCCAAGTGTACACATCCTTTACTTTCGCTGGCAACTTTTCAAATAACAATGATGCCTCGTCAATGCACCCACATTTTGCATACATGTCTATCAATGCTGCGCCTAAAGCTGAATTCATATATAACTTATTTTTGTCTAGATATTGGTGAATTAACCTTCCTTGCTCTAGTCCCCCAGTGTGCGCACAAGCACTAAGAGCAGCTGTAAGCGTGAATTGATTAGGCACGATGCTACGTGACAGCATGTCTTGGAAGACAAGAAGCGCATCTTTGTACCGCTTAAATTTCACATAACCATTTATTAGTACAGTCCAAGAAACAACATTTCTGTGAGGCATTTCATCGAGCGCTCTGCGAGCGTCGTCACAACGACCGCACTTTAGATACATATATACAAGAGCGCTGCAAATATAAGCATCCAATTGAACTCGGCCCCCAACAATATAAAATCCGTGAATCCATCTTCCGAAATAATCATCGCCCAGCAAAGCAGCCGCACGAAGAATGCTAACTATGGCTACCCCATCAATTCTGACCGTGCCTATTGATCTCATATTCACGAAACACTTCAATGCCTCTCCTAGACAATCATTTTTTACATGGCCATCAATCAACGCAGTCCATGCAACAACGTCCTGAAACGAGCTTTCATCAAACACTCGGCATGCACACTCCATAAACCCAGAATTAGCAAAAGCAGACATCAAAGCGTTTCGGACAAAAAGATCAAAATGCAACCCAAATTTAAGAATTTGAGCATAAAGGAGAAGTGGGTCTTGAAAATTAGACTTGGATAACGCCTTAAGAAGCAAAGGGAAGGTGTGTTTATCTGGATGTACGCCATTTTGAAGCATTCTTGCATAGCAGAGAAGGGACATTTGAGGGTAGGGAGTGTACGAGAAAGCTTCAATCATTTTGTTGAAGAGGCGAACGATAGGAGCGTAGATAGTGCTGATAAGACGGGAGGTATAGGACAGAGGAGTGCGGGTAGACAGAATGCAGTGCAGTGAATGAGCTTGCAGAGCAACGAGTTGTCATTTAAAAAGCCAGAAGCAATCATAATGGAGTGGATTTGCTTGCATTGTTCCAAAGTTCGGCGGTTCTGTAATAGAGAAACAAGTTTGCCGCGCAGGAGGGCCAACGCCATACGCGTCTGCATTTCGGTGCTCACCCGATAGATGAGCAACAGGTGCTCATCTTCAGTCCTTAGGCAGCGAGATATGGCGACTCGGACTTGGTAGGGTTGGAAGCTACAGGTAAGCACCGATCATTGACGCATGGTAGTCCAAGGTGGCCGCGGGTGATGGTATTATTAGATGATTACACTGGCGACCAAAGAATGGTGATCTAAGACTGCTGCCGTTGGTGCGTCCACGGAGTTCTTGTGAAAACGGGGCAAAGCCCAAATCTCTAGACAGAGACGCCCACTGTAAGTTTTATTCTGCGAGCTTTTGCATCGCAGAGAGTGAAAAAGAAGGGGTTTCCACGGAGTCTTGGCGGAGGATGAAGGAAGATTTTCTAAAGCCTCCTGCCATCGCGAAACAGATCGCGGGCGGTGAATCCAAAATTCGTGACCTTTTTTTTTTTAAATAAGCACAACCATTTTTCCCCCTCAAAATCCTTCAGCTTCTTTCCGTCAACGACGTTACCCTGTGTTGTGGATATCATCTCAAGGACTAACGGAATATAAACGGCGTTAAGAAAAGGAAAAAAATGAAGACCCAAGGACTGGATCGTCTCCTTGTTCGTTGAGCATCGCAAGTACAGTAGCAGTTATGAAGACGCAACACATTCTCTATTCTGTTGAGCAAGGAAATGATCAATATACAACGGCAAGTATATATTTGGTTCCATTCTCAAATTTATCATCTGTATGAACGGGTTTTATATGTCTCTGTTCTTGTGTGCTTTCATCAGCAAGGTTTCTTCTACTTGACAATAAAAAAAATCCTTTGCAAAAAAAAAATCCTTTGCAAAATATTGCTGAACGTTAGCCTCTGCTCTGAAGTAGCTAGCTCAGCAGGACTTCAACTTAGAGCAGATGGAAACACAACAATTTCCAGATCGCTTGATCAAATTCTGTGGAATTTTAGCCTATCTAACTACAGATTTGTATAACTCGGGAGATAGTGTTTTATATGATCTTGTGCAATTCATTTTTATATATTTAATTTTAGTTCAGCTTAGTCATAGAGCTCATCTAGGAATTAATTTTTTTAAATGAACAACTCGCACTGTTATATTACATCACTATCATGACACACCAGCAGTACTTCAGATGTTTGAGATAGGGTAAACATGATTGATTTCTGGTTGAGTACATTTATTAGGAAAGCACCAGGCACGCAATCCTTATGCTCACATGACTCCATCACCCCGTTCTATTATATTCTTTCAATATTCATCCGGCCAAAAACAAAATATTCAACTACTCACAGTTATATATAGATCCTTGGATATTTTTTTTTGATACACTAGAAAAGTAAAAACTAAAAAACCGAAAGAGCACATCTAAGTAATATCCAGAGTCGTTATTAGCCATATTTAGCCACATTTTGACGCTGCCATGTTGTGTCCTTCATTGCCTCATTAATACTCTTTTAGTGTTTAATGTAAGATTTAATTAATTAGTTTGAATAGATTAAATATATTAGTTAAATTGGTTAATATGATATGTTTTTTTTTTCTTCTAAAACATCTAAACGTTTTTCTTAGTTCCCTCTCTTCCTTTTCTATTTAATTATTGTTGAGTAATATCAATATAAATAATTTAGGAAAAAATTACTAAATATATAAAATAGGTATTACATATAGGACTAATATCAATTTTTTAATTAGATCCTATACTAAAAACAAAAAGATTATAAATATTCCTCCAATTTTATTTTAACAAACTCACATACGTGTTTTTTTTGTGTTTGCGTGCGTGCGTGCGTGCAATATTCATTTGTTGGACAGTACCGCCATCTTTTTTTTTTTTGGTTGCCCACCAGTTCACCGGAGCTTTGCTTTGACTACATCTGGATCCGACTCTCGTCGCGCACCTAACTGTGGCGGATGAGTCTCTCAACGGGGATTTCTGCATACGTTAGGCTCGAACTCGAGACCTTGCTTAAACGGTACCAACCGCTTACCATTTGGACCAATCCCCGTTGGTCCCGCCATCTTTATATCTTCTCTCAACCACTGAAGATTCGCGTGAGAGCCCAAATAGCATACATATTCACAAAGACTCTTGATCGAGACCAGTTGCATATGTTACTATGCAAGTTGGTTAGTTTGCATACTGAGGGTTTTCAAAGGCAAGTTAAATGATTTTGGTTATGCCACTTTAATTTTTTTATATTATTAATAATGGCATGATGGATATTGCGTGTTATGTAATTTGCTGAACAACGTTGCACATAGAATACTGTTGTCGTGCAAGAATTTGCAAGAGTTCAATATAAAGTAACGTCTCTGTATAAGAATATTCAAATGAATTAGATGTTATACTTTTTGCATAATATTACTCCCAATTTTTAATATAAGAGCGAATTACTAATTTAAATAAATTAAAAAAGTTTGTTAAGTTACTTATTTATAATAAATAGGTATTTTTCTCTAAAATATTTTTACTAATCATGTGTATTAACTGGAACCACCATGTGATAGAATCTTTCATATGTGCAACTATTATAAGAACTACTTTGAAAAAAAAAAATATGAGAGACAGAGTGAATTTAAAGTCTTGTATTATTTTTTTTTTTTATACAAGAAGCAAACCAAAACAAATTAACCCTTCTCCATCTGCACTACCTAAGAAAGTGTTGGAGGAGCATTGCACACCGGGTGGTAGCCAGGTAGAATAGCCAAACCTTCCTTAGCCAAGAGATCCGCAGCACTATTAACCCACCATGTAATAGGTTTGAAAACAACCTCCCAATTATAGCTCATCCATCGCCGTGCCTCAAAAACAAGATTGAAATCAGCATGAGTTTCACTGGCTCCCTCTTGGATGAGCCCCACTGCTTCCAAGGAATCAGATTCGAGAATAAGCTTTCTAATCCCAAGGTCCCAAGCAATTTTAAGACCAAGCACACACCCCCAAAGCTCAGCTGTGAGGTTATCACCCCCAATGAAATTAAACATAAATCCCCAAACAAAGTCTAACATAAATCCCCAAACAAAGTCTCCATGTTCATTCCTAAGGATCCCTCCATAAGCTCCAATATTCGTAACATGGGAGTAAGCACCATCAATGTTAAATTTAAGCCATCCCGAGTTAGGTGGTTTCCATTTGGAAGAAGCCATATGAGGAGAGTTGTGAGGCCGCCCCCTGCAGAACCTCTCATGTGCTTCATGCATCACCTAAAGCATTGATTGAGAGCTTATACTGATCAAGCTATTCGACAGGTTCTTATGTTCAAAGACCCACATATTCTGTTTCCTTCAAACCCACCAGCACACAATTGCGAACATTTGCCTCCACTGCTCACTATCCTTACTTTTGTTTGTCATGAGATTCCACCAGAACCATTTCCCAAAATCCATGCTCATAAAGCGTCTCCAGGCCATTGGGTAGACCAACGATAGCCACAACTCCTTGATCTATGGGCAGTTACAGAGCACATGAATGGAATCCTCAACTTCCGCATCACACACGGGACAGGATTCCTCGGAGATGAGCTCCCTTTTTTGATGAGAAGCATTCATGAGAAGATGTCTGTTTCCAACTAACCACAAGAACATACTTACATCTTTTAGGAATTCGCAACTTCCAAATCTTGCCCTATAGGTTTTCAAAATTGTCCTCTGCCTTTTGCAGGGAATCATACACTGAACTAATAGCAAAAAGGTCGCTCTTGTGCCATTTCCATTAGGCCACACCACTTGTCATTATTTCAACCCCCTTCTCCACATCGTCCCAGGCTTTTTTGATTCCTAACCACACGTTAGATCTAAATCTTGTGCTTTCAATTTTTGGCACAAGGTCAGTACCACATTTGTACTTATCACGGACTACCTTTACCCAAAAAGCATCCTGCTTCATGATGAGTTTTCCATCCTAGCTTCATCATAAATGATTTGCTTTGGTTCTTAGCATGTTGCAGTCCAAGACCACCTTTAACCTTCAACTTGCACACAGCATCCCAAGCAATAAGAGGGATCTTTCGGTGCTCTTCACTCTTGCCCTACAAAAAACTTCTCTGGCATTTATCTAGGTTCTCACAAATATTAAGTGGGAGGGATGCCATTTGCATTGCATATCCAAGAATAACATAGGTCACAGAGGAAATTAATGTAGCCCGACCTGCTAAAGAGATAGAACTAGCCTTCCATGAAGAAATTCTAGCTTTAACTTTATCTAGAATCTCATGATAAGTATCTACTGAAACACGTTTATGGTGCAAAGGAAACCAAGATATTTTCCCAAGTCCCCTATCATGAAGAAGCCCAAGGTCTGAGCTAATCTCATTGCTCCTGTTATGGTTAACATTACTAAAGAAAACATTCTAATTTTCATGATACTGGCCTTTAACATCGAGGAGGCACAAAAATTATCAAGATACTTGCGTATCACATCAGATTGACTAAGAGAGGCTTCAGTAAAAAAGATGATGTCGTCGGCGAAAAACAGGTGGGTTATAGGAGGTCTCTTCACCGTCAATCTAATTGGTTCTAAGATCCATCATTCGCAGCTACTTGAATTAGGTGAGCAAGTTTTTTTCATGCATATAACAAAAAAATACGGGGACATAAGATCACCTTATCTCACCCCTCTATATGAATGAAAACTGTTTGCCTTTTCTTCATTCCACCACAGTTGAAGCTTTGCTGTAGAGACATAAAAGGAGATAATCTCAGTAATATTACTTAGGGGTTAGATCTCAACAAGGCACCCAAGCAGAAATTCCAGTTAACACAGTCGTAAGCTTTTTCAAGATCGATCTTAATCGCCATCTATCCCTTTTTGCCTCTCATTGTTCTTATAGAATGAATGACTTCCTAGGCTACAATAATATTATCACTACTATGCCGGCCAGGAACAAAGCTATACTGGTTGGGAGAAATGATCATGGGAAGAAAGAATTTTAGCCTGTTGACAATAATCTTTGTTACCACCTTATACATCACATTGCAGAGGCTTATAGGTCTTAGATCCTGAAGCATTTCAAGAAAGTCTTTCTTAGGGATAAGAACAATTAGGCTCTCATTCACTCCCCTAATATCCTACGGGTTATCAAAAACTTACTTAACAAAATTAATGACAGAAAGACATACTGTGTCCCATTGGTTCTGATAGAAAAGAGCATTGAACCCATCAGGGCCATGGCTTTTAGGGGTCCTATACTGAATATTTCTTCTTTAATCTCATCATCACTTATTTGTCTTCCATACTGACAGATTAGATTTTCTTCCAACCTTAGGAATGAGAGAGCGCACTCCAAAGTAGGCCTATTATGAGCATCTTCTAAGAACAAGCTCAAAAAGTATTCCTTGACCTTTTTATCTTCTCACTATCATACTCTCATTCATCTAGATCATTTCAGAGACAAACAATGCTATTCGTCTTACTTCTACGGTTAGCACAAGTATGGAAATGCCTTGTATTATGATTCCCAAGTACGGACCACTCCAACCTTGCTTTCTGGGCCCATAAAAGTGCTTCTTGAGTTAACACACTCTCAAGTTCTTTCCAAAGGGAATAGTGAAGGTCTTCAAGATGTTTCTGATATCCACCTCGAGCAATAGCATTATTCACACCATCAAACCTACACAGGAGTTTCCTCTTCCTAGCTTCAGTATGATCAAACGTCGTCTTTTCCACTAAGCACATGTAGCCATAAATTGATTAATATTTTCAAACCAGTTAACTTCATTATGCAGCTTACTTCAAACGAACTCCTGAAATTCCTCATGCAGCACATATGTCCCAATAAAGCAAAAAGGACGTGATGGCTATTCTTTGTTGGTTAACGTGTCTAAATTCAAGAGCATGGGTCTATGGTCAAATTTGTAGAATAGAAGGTGATAGACCACTGCATTTGGGTACATGCAAGCCCATTGGTCATTCATAAGCAACTTGTCCAACCTCACCTCCGTACTTCCTCTCTTCCATGTAAAAGTTGGTCCCACGAAGTCAACGTCAATCAAGTACATGGTCTCGACCCAATTAGAAAAGTCCTTGTCAATGGATTTTTTGCAAGGGGAATTAGACACACGTTCACACTTAAGCAAGGTCGCATTGAAGGCTAAGCTTGTATTTTGCAACCTTGAAAGAGAAGTCAGGCTTAAAAGGACTAGTTTTGTATAGGCGAAAAATAAACGGGCCAGCCTTGTAGGGCTGCAGGCTGGCCCGTTTAGGCTTGCCAACATTTTAAAAAAAAATTTTATATTTTTTTCTTAACTTAAAAAGAAAACCCTAACATTTTATACATAACATACTCTTAGTTTTACTTAACCCAACAGCTCACACTGATAGCATTCACAAAAAAAAAATCACCATAGTTGTTGGAAAAATAACCAAAATTTAAAACTAGGTTATTCACAAAAATGTATTGTTATTTATAAGTTGTCAAAACCTGTTAAAATACTGTATGTGTAATTTTACAATCTTTATTTGGCATTCTCCCATATTTTCTATACTTGAAATAGAATTGATTAAAGAATCATTTGAATTAAAATAAAGATTTATATCATTCTTCTTTTTTGTCGGTAGGACAAATGATTATTCTTTATGCATACTAAATTTTTTGTTAATTATTTATAATTAAACTAGATCATCCACATTGTAATTATTTACTGAACTTAGTGTTTATTTAGTTGTTTTATGTTTGTCTTCTATTTAGTTTGTTTATTTAATAGACTCTATTACACTGTGATAGATGTTTAGACATGGTGATGTTTATGTTTATAACTTATTTTTATTTATATTTATACCTTTTATTAGTAATTTTATTGTGTCATTTTTATTATTTAGATAAAATATGCAAAAAAAATGAAAAAAAAATTACATTTTAGTTAAACGGGCAAAAAGCTTGTGGGCCAGCCTGAGTCCTCATCTCATGGGCCGGGCTTGCAAAAATAGTTTATTTTTGGAACTCGGACTTAAACGGGTTAGCCCATTTAAGCTTGGGCCCGTGTCGGGCCGGCCTTGTAAGACCGGGCCAGCCCGTTTTCCTAGTACTAGAAGTGCCAAAAAACTTAAGCTATGATGCTTCTTTAAATCTCGTACAAAATATGAAACATCTCTACTTTCTCTCTCCTTCCGCCATATTAGACTAGGCTCTCTTCTTTTCTTCACTCGTTCCATAAGTTCATCTCCTTAACGACCATTCTTCCCACATGCAAATGGCTCACTATTGCTTTCAAACCTCTCCATAATTATAGCATTGATTTTCTAATACTATAAATTTAATTTTGTTTGGTTGAAACCCAAATTCCTGTAATATTTGACCTCCATGGATGATTCTGCAACAGTACTCGTTTCTGGGACCATTTCCTAGTGTTAATGGCTCTAAAGAACCTCTCACCACTTAAGATGTACTCAGCTAAAGGTACAAAATTCAAGCCCAAACTATGACTCCCCTCCTTAACAAACTAATTAGGAAGTGTCATAGTCCCATATTCACCTTTTACAAACTTGACCAGGTAAGTATTAAGAAATGAGACTCTAAAAAGGCCAACTATTATGTGCATAGTGAAGGCAAACCACATGATTATAACATATCATATAAACTAGTATCAAAATCTCCTCATCCCACTCACTGATTCAAGTCATGCATATGCAGCAATACTAGTACTAGCATGCTCAAAAGAATTTAGAGTATCATATGAATCATTAAAATGAATTACAAACATGCTTGAAAGAAATAAACTACTCATGATTTTTTTTTTCACATAGGTATACGCATATAGAACATGCTCAACATGATTCAAATAACAATGATAAACAACACATTCATATCCATTTTTTTTCACCGTATGTAGTCTCAATAAGTTGTGAACCAAATAGAATTTTATATGCTAATACTTGTATAATCAATCATACAAACAATTCGCATACATGTAAAAAAAAAAACCCACAAGTTGTCTGTCCTCCTTTAATTCATATGCGGTCAAAACAGTAAATCTAAGCAGTTAGAAATCAGACTTTACAAAAATCACACATACACGAAAACATTACTTTGTGACTTGAAATCACTAAATTTATATTAAGACCAATTTAAAGCTACCTCTAGCCTTAAATATGCTCCATACATATAATAAAATTTTAAGTGTTTATATATATTAAACTAATTATTTATAAAGAAACTTTTTTTATATATATAATGTTCTGCCATTTACAAAGATATAAAATATTAAGATAAAATAAATTAGTGTGCTTATTTATTTACTTACTCATCTATTTATTTGTATTTATATTTTATTTTTTTATTTTAATTTACACAAAATAGTCACGTTATAACATGTGAATGGATTTTTTTTAAAAAAAAAATAGATAAAATACTTTATCGATAGATACTATAATAATTATAATAAAATAATTACAAAACAGCTTTTGTAATTTCTATGGTTACATTTTTTGTTCCTTGAGTGTAATTATTTTGGCATACAAGGAAATACAACAATATTTTATTTGTAACAATAACAAAGTAAAACAAAATTAAGAAGTTCATCTTTATGATTATTCAATACCTAAAATTAATAATCATTAATACTAAAATTATTAATAAAATTTATTCAAATATACAATGATTGAGATATTACTAGCTGAATGAGAAAAAATAAAATTAATAACAACATAATCATTTAAACCGATTCATCACTTACTTTTACTGGTTCACTTCGGCTTGATTGGTTCACTCTGGTTTTCTAACTTTGCATACAAAATTCAAATTCACCTAGCCACAACACCAACTCTGTTTTGCTTCGTTTTTTCACGTATGAACAGAGAAAATTTACAAATTGAAATCAGACACAAATGGATCAAACCCAAACCAACTAAATAACATATAAGTTATGCTTCAGGCACACACAAGCAACCATGACTAAACAAGCATTGTAATTAATGGCTAACAAACATTGTAATTAATGGCTTCCTCACAGCCACAACGATGACTAAACAAGCAACCATGATTTCCAGACATATATCTTCGTACTCTTGGTCTATCGCTTACAAAATGTTTATTACTTCTCATCTTCAACACATGTTTATCAATTCATACACAAAACCTAAGTTTAAATTCGTCCAAATGTTTCCATTCCTTCTATTAACTCTGACACAGCAACGGTAACAAACAAAACAAGAAGAGAAGAAGAAGATTGCAAATGACGAAGAGAATACGAGCAGAGGATGACCACAAACCTGTCAACGAAGCTTGCTTCTGCTCTCAATACTTGCACAACAGTATTCGTTCTTTTGAGCCTTCTCCACAAACGATGATATCGTCTGTGTCAATCTCCAGTCTCGTTTTTTATTTATGATTTAGAGGCAAATGAGTAAAATGAGCTTTAGCACGGGCGACAAAAATTTGTACCCACCATTTTAATTAAGAACATATTTTCAGCTATTTAAATAAAAATCAGGTTGCGCCTTCCGTTTCATTCTCACCTCTTCCTTAAACTAAATTAGCACCTCCAATAAAAAAAAATTTGGATTTTCCGTTTTCAAGCCCAAATTTTCCTTGAACCAAACGGCCCTTATAGTCTGACCCGTTCATTGACGGAACATTTCCCGCACAGTGTGCGGAAGAATTCTGTACTTCCACAGAGGCCCTATCTTGAGTCAGTTGATCCGTGTCTCCATTTCGTTCGAGGTATTTACAATTGATAGGAAGACTAATATAAGCCACTTGAAACATCTCTTCATATTTCATGTCAAATTTCCTTATCAGATTCCAGAATTGATGTCCGGATCCCAATGGAGAGATGGATTGACGGAGATGAAAACGCCAATCAGATGCTTGCTAGGGTTTCCATGGCCCGACCTTTTCTGCTTCCTCCCCCACTTCACAGGGTTCCTCTTCGCGTCGGCAATGTCGTTGAGCTCATTGGTCCCTCACCTTCTGCCAAAACCCACATTCTCACTCAGGTTTCTATTTGCATGTTTTATTCTGCTTATCCTTTTAGTCACTCTAAATTTATTACAACTTCAAATACATTTCTACTTGCAAGCGCATTTCTTGTGGGATTGGATGGTCATGGTAATTGGGAGCAAGAAGTTTATAATGATATCATCTATCATATGTTTTGATTTTCGTATTGTTTACATCCAGACTGCTATCAATTGCATTCTTCCTAAAAGGTGGAATGACGTAGAATATGGCGGGTTGGATCGCTTGGTTGTTTTCGTTGACCTAGACTGTCGTTTTGATATCATGCGTCTTTCGGAAATGCTGAATTATCGGATTATGGAATTTGAGGGTGAGTTATAGCGCTTGCTTCTGTTGGCACATATCTGTGTGGATAATAGATTACCCTGTTAGGCTCTCCAGCCGCTGTTATCCCCAATGCATTATCTCACTTTTGACTGTTGCTTTGTATCAGGGTGTGTGAACAGGTATTCACCAATTTATCTAATTTTATTCCTTGAAAGTGAACTTCAAATATGTAAAATTATATATTTTATCTGAGGCAAAAAAAAAAAATATATATAATACTCCTTCCGGTCCTATTTATAAGCTTCAAATTTGAGAAGGAGTGTGGTTTGTTTTATAAGGCTCAATTTAGGGCTTGTCTTGACATTTAATGTATTTTTTTTCCAATACTAACCTTACTTATTTCTTTCTTATCATATTTTTCTGCACATTCTCTTTTATTCTTTTTTTCATTTATTATAAGGGCATATTTGGAACAAAAGTCTATTTCTAACGTATTTATTATTTTTAACTAATTTTAACTAATTACTCGTTATTTGTGAATTGGTTATTTGAAGTTTTTAATAAGGACTGGGGCCCGGAGGGAGTAATATACTCTCAAGATCGTTTGCTGTGCAGTGCATTGCAAGTTGCAGCTCCTCATTTCTATAAAAACAATCAATTAAAAGATTGCTGATATATCCTCTCTGGTGGAACAGGGGCAGTTGATGGAGATCACAATAAGTCATTACATGATTTGTGTATGAGCCGTTTCCTCTATATCCACTGCTACAATAGTTTTGAATTCCTTCAAACTCTCAAGGTGAGGAGTCACTTTTCAACTTAATTCTTAAAAGAAGAAAGAAGAAAGAAAGAAAAAGCCTTATCTTAATAAGTGAGGGCAATTACATGATCTCACAGTGCCATCAGATTTGATCTACAATCGACCATTTAAAATATCATTCACCATGAAATCTTGTTCTAATTTAAACTTGTTTTTTTTGTGTACTTCAAAACTGTATTGTCAAAATTCTTCCTTGTTACAATTGTTAATATTTATAGAGCGTCACTTTTTAGTTTTACCGTATACCTTGTTTATATATATATGTATTTCATTGTGCGACAGACTTTACATTATCGCTTACAAAAGGAGGAAGAAGCTCATGGGGTTAGTTCACTCATGCTTATGATTGACAGGTTGGTTTCTTTTAACACTTTTCTGGTGAAAAAAAAAAAAAATTGTCTACGGGTGCTTTCTGGTAGGTGGGATTGAGAAGTGAAGTTGCTGCCTTGGGTAGTTGAGAACAATTATCCCCATCATTTTGTAGGATTTTGAGCAATACAATGCTTACTGTTATCTTGAATGTCATTTTTCTGGTTTGTTCATGCTTTAAAGTAGCCATGATGTAATGCTGGCTGGCTGACTAACCATGATATATCATTTAATCACCAGACTGGCTAAAAGTCCACATTGGAAGGTTTAAATGGAATCAATAAATCATGAAAAACACATGCTTCACAATAATGGAAGCAGAACTCAAGAGAATCCCTAACTCATGATTTAATTTCTGGTCATATGTCTAAACCTACAGTAACTCTTCCCTTCCCTATGAGAATATGATCAAATCTTGATATTCTTATGATTTGAACAGCATGATATCTAGGTCAAGGAACGTATATGTTTCAACTATTAGTGGGCTGGACTTATGCTAGTTGTCCTATTCTTGTACTTGGCTGTATGAGTATAAATACAGTGGGCACATCAGGAACTTGACGAAGTAACCCGTGATCACATTAGAATTTTTCTCTCTTTCTCGCTGGCGCTATAACATGGCATCAAAGCCACTGGTTTTGAGTTGATGGCATCTTTCTTCTAGGGTCGTTTTCATACGTTTTCACAAAAACAGGGTTCTACTCAGACCATGCTTTGCGCTAAGTGCTAAATCATTGCATGCCTAAAAATGAACTAAAGGCTTTATGCAGTTTTTTTTTTTTTTTTGGCAAAAATTTGGTGTGGCTTCTCAGAGCGGAAACTAAGGAGCTGCTTGGTTAGGGCCAAGTAAGGATGGCAAGTTGGATCTTGTTGTTTACATGGATGAAATTACACCATTTAGCTTTGTTTCATAGCCAACTTTTTCTGACATACCATTTACCAGTAGATCTCAATTGATAGCATTCTTGAGTGTCTTTCTCAGTCTCTTTCTGCCTCTCTACCTCTCTTTATAGAGCTAAAGACTATCTGCTCACTCCTTATCAGTGCCTCCGTCGACCTTCTCTATACATAATCAAACCATCTTAAATGATTTATTACCATTTTCTCATCAATAGATGCCTTCTATTTCTCTTGCTGGTATTGTTACTTTGATGTTGCATTGTTTGGTAAGATAACACTTGGCACTGTTAGTCATTTCCCCACATATTTGACAAGCAAACTTTGTCTTGGCAAGCTCTGTTGAACAGTATTGGAGCTTTTCACTGGGTAGATCGTGCCACGACATTCTTGCCTCGAAGAGATAGTAGCAGGTAACTGGTACATATATTGGTACTTTATATTTTCCGTTAGATGGCATGCCTTCTTTGTCCCAGGATGTGGAGATCAGTACGAACTTAGAAGGTCAATTTCCCTGTTTTGTTTACCTTTAAGTGAAAATCATATACTTCAGAAGGAAGCAATAGAAAAGACAGAGACCAGAGTTTCATTTGATAGCTTCTATCAGTTTGGATGTTATAATTGATTATCTAATGATATAAACCCCTTTTTATTAGGATGTCTTACGAGTATCAGGTATCCTGATCCATTATCAATTTCCCAGTTTATTGAAACCAATGTATACTGTGGGCTCTCGGCTTGTTATATCCTAAAGCTACTATAGTTAAAGGTTGCTCATGTAATGAAGTGGTCCTTGTCTGTGAAGGTAGAGTCTTTAATATAGTGGCAAAATTTGTAATTAGTTGTCAGCTGGAAATGTGCTGAATTACTGATTTTAAGGAGTCATCCATCCCTACGTTTGTCATCATCTTATCATATGGTGCATCCTGAGATATATGCTGGGTTTAACTTGCGGATTTAAAAATTGATCAGGAAAAACCTTTCTCCTCAGACTTTGTCAGAAGCAGTAGTTCGTGAGATAAAAATAGTTATTCAGATGCATCCCATGCTTATTATAGCTACAAAGTCGGCCATTTTTATGGATAGACTTTCCTCTGCTTCAAATTTGGCGAAGTGGTGAGTCCTTCAACAGTTTTGGCAATTTCAAGTCATGCATCATTTAATATGCGATATAAGATTGAAGCAGAGTTTTCATATTTCACGCAGATTGTAAGAATGGAAGGATATCTTTTGATTTAGGTGCAAGGTTGATATATTATAATATGGGTTTGTGAATACTCATCCGCTTTTCCAGATTAAAGATCACAAGCCACATGGTTGTGTTGAGTTACAAGTTTGAACCTAATTTGGATACTCACAGCAGAAGGCACTCACAAGAGAGTGCGTGTGAGAGAGAGAGAGAAGGAGGAGGAGGAGGAGGAGGAGGAGGAGGAGGGGTGGGGGGGGGGGGGGTTCCTTTTTGGCATGGGAGAGTATATATTCACACAGACGAGAGTAACAGACACCCTCTTCTCCCATGGGTTCGGTTGTCTTCAGAAAGTGTGGGAAAATAAAGAAATTAAAAAACCGAAGTAATAATTTGAATTTTAAGGTTAACCAACTTCATAATACTACTAGTATTTAATTAACAGGCTTCCCTCCCGAGTCGCAGTGAACCCATTAATTGTAATTTCAATATATTTTTTTTCCAACCTGGTAATCCTTCGCGCTGTGATAATGATTTATTGGGTTCCTTGCCTTTGCAAACCTTGGACTATGCCGCTTCATCTTTTCATAATTCATCAAGCATATCCTCTATAAGGCATTTTTTTAATTAAAAAAAATCTAAATTCCAGTATCTTTATCTTTCATTCATGTATGTTTGTACATCAATATTGCATGGCAGGAACTTCATAAAAGATAATCGGCAAGCTGAAAGAGTTTGCAGGAGTGTGACAAGAAATGATCAACCCATTCAGTATCGTGAGTATATGCCTTCTGTCTGGCAGGTAAAGCTGTGTAAGGTTATTGACAATTGTGCGTGCATGTGTGTGTTTATGAGTAAAAAAATGAAGATAAAATTAAAATGATTGTTATTAACTATAGAAAGAGGAGAAATGATTGGAGATGCAGGGACAGAAATGAGGAAAAGAAAATAGAAAGTGGAGTTGTACGGGTCCTCGTTTTCAGAAGCAATAGTCTGACTGTTTAGAGACGGAAACTTTTATCCCTTGACAAGCGTTGTTGAGCTAACTTTAGAAAGTGAATTGTCCTAAAATAATGAGCTGGGTGTCATAATCCATAATGGCTCCAGATGCTGTTTTAATTTCCTGGACACAGCTCGGTTTGGGAATATATAATTGAGGGCTATCTTGAATCTGGAGTGATGTGCCTCCACTTAATTGCAGGCCTTTGTTACACACCGAATGCTCCTTCGTGCTTCGGGTTGGTGTCAATTCCTACTAGTTAATAATAGTGTGCACCTGCTTTAATCATTACTCATCAATTCAGCATATGCTTGTTGCTTTTTAGATGATTATCGTGTTGTGAGCAATCACGAAAACTGCTCGTGCTATGCATTGGAATGGTTGTTGCCGAGATTGAATTCTTTGGAGAGATTCGTCGTGAAAGATGTAAGAACGCAACCTACTGACCGTAATTTTGACTTTTGAGGATTTTCCATCGGACTGGACTTAATTTGGCTGTGTTTGGACTTACAGGCAGGAATATTTGTTGATTGACGCATCCTTACAAGGATGTGATGCAGCATTTCTTTGCAATTGCCAGTAGAGAAATTTGTCTTTTCTCAATTTTGCCCAAGCTATATTATTTTGGGAGAAGCCAAAGCTATGTTTATATCTAAGTTAATGTCATGCTAGAATTGTGTAAAGCTAAACAGTAGCTGATTGTATCTAGCCAATAATTAGTACTTCCTCCGATCCAATTATTTAACTAATTTAAATAAATTAAGAAAGCTAAATAAATTAGTTAATTATAATAAATATGATTAGATTTTTTTTAAAGATACTCTTATATAATATTAGATTGTATATTAGTTCATAAATTAGATTAGTTATTTGGAAAAATAATAAATATGAGAGATAAAATATATTAATATGGTATAACTAATTCCTAAATTAGAGATAGAAATAATTTTTTAAAGTTAATGTCTGCCCAATCTTTCTGTATTTATCTTGAAATTAAATTAAGATAAATGAAAGTAAGTAGTCTATCATTATTAAATAATTTGTTGTTCATTATTATAAAATACAGAGTGAAATACATCAACTTCTTATCTATTTTACCTACATTACAACACAACTGTATATGACAATCGAACTTAGGGCCGTATCCTACCTAAAACTAGATTTTTGTCGCCTGTTGGAAAGTCGGGGGCATTAAAAATGTATATTATTTTTTGTTTTTAATATAAGATCTAATTTGATTTTTACTTTGATTCTAAATATAAGATTCTAATTCACTTTGTCTATAATATTTATATATATTTTTTTAAGATAGTCTTTCTAACAATTATAGTTCTAACTAATATACTTGATGAGCAAGAATATTTTAGAAAAAAAACAACACATATTTATTACAAATAATTAATTTAATTTTTTTTTAATCTTTTTAAATTAGTTAACTAGTTTTTATAATTAGGACTAGAGGTAATAGTACTAAAAAATTAAGTAAACACTGATTTCGGCCCTAAGTAAAAGGAAGTAATTTTTTTTTTTTTTTACAAAAGGGGGCCAAGCGTGAGCTTGGAAAGAGAACATCTACTAGTTAGTCATAGAACCCTCCTCCTCAAGGAGGTCCAAACATTTGGGGTGGGGGTAGTCCAAATCGTGAAGTTGCCCGCCATGTCATGCGCGGTTTTTGCTAGACGGTCTGCACATCTGATTGTGTCTCTGGGTGCATATTTGAGTTGTAGAACCCATTCTGAGAAGATCATGTTACGAGCTGCATTGATTTCTTCCCTTAGGGGGTGATTTTGGCCTCCATCTCTCATGATTAGATTGTAAGCCTCCATAGAATCTGTATATGCTATTACGTTCTTTAGTCCGTACTGCTGACAGCACTGAAGCCCTTGCCTTAGCGTGTGAAGTTCTGCAGTTGTGCTTTGTGCATATCCCAGTTTGCATTGGTACCCAAGTATCCACTGTCCATATGAGTCTCGAATTATGCCTCCACCTGTTGCTTTCTGTTCATGATTAACTGATGCATCAGTGTCCAGCCTTAAATAACCTTGAGGCGGTGCTTTCCAGACAGTTTCCTCTCGGTCGCTAAAGTTGAAAATTTGATGTTTGTATTTCCCCATCGCATTGTCTTCCATGAGTTGAAACATGGCTTTGTGGCAAATTTCTTCCGCGTTCAACCGTCGCCCCTCCATAACATTACTACACCGGTTTTTCCAAAGAAGCCAGCATATGAGACAAAAGACTTTGACCCATGGCCATTTCATAAACCGTGGGGTCCCTAAACTCTGGGTCATATTCCTTTTGAGCCAAACCTGCAAGTCAGAAGAAAAGGAAGTAAATATTGATCATGGCATTATGTTTTTGCTTGCCCTGCTCAACCGGAGTCCTACCACATCTAGACTAATCCGGTTTGACCTACGTTAGTCACCTCAGGGGGTGGGCGAGTCTGCTCCGTGGGTTGTTTTGTTCCCAACTCCAACTCGAAGCTGCCTGTTAAACTAAAACAACTCTAGCTAGTTGATCCAAGCGTTTCGGCTACAACCTAACCGCCTTTGATTCCTGGCCCCTCCCTCATCGTCTGTTGCTTGTTCTACTCAGCCCCACTTCTTCCTCTTCTCAGAAAAAACCCATGCCCACGGCCCCCACTTCCGAGCCCCATTTCTCTTCAACAATGAAGAAGATGGAGACATTTTACCCCACTTTCAAATTGTCAATAATCCACGCCATAATACTCATCTTGCTATCTGTTTCATCCCTTCATCTTCTTCAAGGTCGGATTGCAAGTCCACTCATTCTCTTCCCATTTTGCCCATCCACAATGCTTTCCAGCTTTAATGGCAGCTCGATGAAATAGCCCTCTTTCTCCACACTGGAATGAACACCTTCAGTGACTCGGAATGGGTACCGGCCGTGGCGACCCTTCCCTCTTCAGCCCATCCAAGTTCAATGCCGCTTAGTGGGTTCAAGTTGTTAAAGAATTCAGATATTCTCGAGTACTGTTAACTGCAAAACACCGCGACGACTTCTACTTTGGCCATTCAAACAATATTGATTACTCTATGCAGTCGAGCATGTGGAGGAACGAGATCGACGATGTCGCAGCCAAGTTGGCTGATTCTGATCGTGGTGGAAGGCATGGTGGTGGGTGAAGTATGTGTTTGTGTTGGAGAACAATGCCGATGCCATTGTGGTGCCACCGATCGCCGTCTTTGTCACCGTTCGCAGGTCGCGATCGTCTTCTTCATCGACATTCTTCCTCTCTGTTCCTTCATCCATCTCAGACATGAAAATCTGCATCAAAGTCTTCTTGTTTTTTTCCTTACTCCTGCATGTATTGATTTAAATTTAATGCTTCAGATTTTGAGTGGATTTTGTTGTTTGCATATTTGTTTATGGAACAGGTTCAGCAAGCAAGCTAGCTCTAACAATGGAGGTTGAGTGATGGAGATGGGGGAGGGACCCTTTTTCAAAATGAAAAACGTGATCGGATAAAAACAAAACTATAGTTTTAAAAATATTTTTAGTCTGTCTTAGGGGTTGTTTGACGACCTTCAAATCATGGTTTCAGAAGCACTTTTATGCAAAACGAGATAAACTCCTCTATATATTTGTTTCGTAAACTGTAAAAACACTTCTGAAATTATAGTTTAGTTTCTATCCAAACACCTCTTTGATTTGCTGAAAAGTGATTTTGAAAAATGATTTTCGGGTTACTCAAACACTCCTGAAATATGAGTGATTTGGCTATATAGTTGCTCGCCCGCTAATTGTTAAGCCAATTTTGATTGGATCTAATTTTTATATTTATTAATTTTTTAAAATTATTTTTATGGATATTTCTTTAATTAAAATAAAGTAAGTGGAGGAAGAAAGATATTAAGAAAGATAATTACGATGTTTTAGGAAAAATATGTTATATTTCTTATAATTAACTAACTTATCTAATTTTTTAATTTAATCAAATTAGTTAAATAGATCTTATATTAAAAACACTAGCCTATTTTATTTTATTTTTTAATTTATCCAGATTAAAAAAATAATTATAAAATAAGTTTTAAAAGTTATCATTTTTTTACTATGAAACTTATTATAATTTGTTTATTAGAATTTTAATAATTATTTTTTTAGACTTAATTATAATTCTTTTTTTTTAATTCAGCGAGTCTCAGAATAAATTAGTTAATATAAAATTTGACAGGAAAATTTTTAGAATGATATTGAATTTAAAAACAAATTTTGAATACTCACCACTTTTCAACAAATACAACTTGAGATAAAATTGAATCTTAGCCCCTATTAATAATTGAACAAAATTCAAAGCGGTAATGTTATACGCAGCGTTAGAATTTTTTTTCCAGCTCGTCTTTTCGTTTTTGTTCTGGTGGAAGTGCTCTTTGAATTTCAGTTGATTCAATTTAATGGTTTTATAAAGAAGGTATTCCTCTTTTTTTTTAAAAAAAAATTATTATTTATTTTCTTGAAGTTATAATTTAATTTTTTTTTAAACATTACAAAAAAATTCAGGGAGAATGACAGAAAAAGAAGTTAAAAATTATAAATTTCAAATTAAGTTTTTTAATATAACTTTATTTAATATTGACAAGTCTGAATTTACAAATGACAATTAATTTTTGTTGATATTCTTTATTTGATATTTACAAAATTCTAGCTTCTTTTTTTGTTATTATCTCAAAAATTTAAATTTTGATTAAAAAACACCTTTATAGTAGAAATATCCGTTATAACTTTAGATATTAGGTTGGTTAAAAAAAAAAAAAAGAATTTAGATTTCATATTAGAAGTAATATAAATTTTTATAATAAAAGATTTGAATGGGTCAGATTTTGAAGGCTCATAGGATTAGAGCATGTTTTGACATGTGGAGTATTTGTAAAGATGCTTTAACCTTACTTAACATGACCTCAAAAACAGTGGATTGTAAACTCATGATATTATGACTAAATTCTTACCAATCTCACCAATGTTTATTAACAATAAGGACATAATTTATTTTTAGATCGAATTTTATGCATAGGAGAAGATCAAATGTATTGAAGTTTGTCCTGATTTGAAATATAAGTATCAAATCACCAAAGAATTTTTGGTTTTTTTTTTAATACTTTTTATAAGCTACAATTTGCATTTGTCTAATCATTTAATACAATTTTTATTTTTGTTCTTAATTAATTATATGTTTTTCTCATATTTCTTTTTTACTTATTTTCTCTCTCACTTAACTCTCCATAAATAAGGGCATTTTAGCAAAATAAATTATATTTTTTTACATATTTATTATTTTTTTGCTAATTTTTTGAATTGTGTGATTGAGTTATTTGAAGTTTATATTATGAACTAGAGAAGTATCTTTAAAACAATTAAAATAAATTGACCCATTTTCAGTTTTATTAAAATTATTCAGACCTTCTTTATCAAAAGTAAATGACAAAATTTTCTCTTATATTTTCAAAATCTGCTATTTCAATCTAATTTTTAATGTATTTTAAAATATATTGTTAAAAAATTTAAAATACATTTTCATTTAATTGAATCAATAGGACAAATTTAATACTGTTAATTTGCCCTGTACCTCAATTGTCTAGCCCCAAATGTATGAAATTTTAGATAAATGCAATAGTTTTTGCAGTTTTGAAACTATGATTTTTTTTTGGGCCGGGTTTTGAAACTATGATTTAGAAGGTGTTTGGGTTTGTTTAAAAGTGTTTTTTAAAAACACTTTTCCGTAAATCGAGACAAACTCCTCTATATATTTACTTTGTATGTCGTAAAATCACTTTTAAAATTATGGTTTGGTTTCCATCCAAATATCTTTTTAAATATGGCAATAGAAATAGATTCTATGACAAGAGACAATTATTGAAAAAAAAAAAAATAGACGCTAAATTTATTATGCAAAATATATGACCTTCGCATTTTCGGCCACTCTCCTCAAAATGCCTGAAATACGAAGTACTTGATAAAGATACCCCCCGTCACCGTCTTTGTTTGTAGGCATGTGGGTGTGGTTGGCGTTTCTTGCAAGAAAAACTTGACTGCATGAGGCTCATGTTGGCCATAATTTTCACAAGAAGCTGTGATGTCCACAACTGGCGGTCCCAGTTCTTATTATCCTCTTTTTCTCAGGTCACAAGAAGAAAATTCTAATTGATGCCTCAATAACTTTTAAGCTTTCGCTCCTTCGAATTAGAACCTCCCGAACACTATACAAAATTAAAATCAAAATCTCGCTTCTCTTTCTCTGGCAGTATCATTATCAGGTCAGGCTCGCTCTCTTCTTGATTGAAATCTTCTTTAATTAGCATTTTTTTAATTTATTTTTGCTGTTTATGTAAAAATTACTTTCATTCTGAGTTTATGGGTTTCTGTATGGTAGTAATTTCCCTTTCGCTTGAGAAACTCATCTCCTTAGAAACTTCTCCGTTTCTCTAAATTGTGTTGGAAGTGAATTACAGGAGAATGAATCTAACAAGGTTTCCATGTACATGTGGAACCCTTAATCTTTATATATGTAAATCTTTGTTACAACAGTTTGTTTGGAGCAGCTTGTGGGGATCATTCATGTGGTTTGATGGATAATCAACGCTTGCTTTATATGCAGTTGAAGGAGAGTGGACATGCTTAAGCTATCAAACTATTCACGTGTATAAGCTAATATTTGCAGATAAAATATGGAAATTGAGGTAGAGATTATAGTGCTTACTGGGACATGATTCTAATGATTCTAATTTATGTATTTGAGTTACGTGGGAGGAGTTCAGATTACATAGCAAAGGGCAGAAGTTAATTGTTAAGCTTGAGCGATTGATGATCGCTAATTTTTTCACTGAAATGCCCCGACTATGCAGAGAATATGGCATTTAACTATTCTCGCTGTTTTCCTTAGCTTCTAGTGGCAGAGAGGAAAGAGTATCAGATGTAGCTTTGTGATATAACCATGAAGTAGGGTGCTTAGTTAACTTCTCACTGATTTATCACATCTTAACCAACTGAAAAATAAAGGATAAGAAATATTCATCAATAAACATTTCTTTGACTTATTTTTTTCAGTGCTATGTTAGTCTTTAAAGTCACATTCTTTCTTTGACTCTCTTTTTTTTTTTTTTGGGTGGCAGGATAGGATACCATGAGCATATCGACCCACCAATACCAGTGTAGTTGGCCCCTCAGATTTCAGGAGCATCTTCATAAAGGAAGCATTAGTAAGGTTCCATTTTCAGGATATCCTTGTTCAGATTCTCTTTGCAGAGGAGTTGGCTTGCTTAATGTTGGATACCATCAAAGTTCCCGGAAATGGGGCCCCATCTTTTCCATTGCAGTGAATGACAGTATGAATCCTGATGATTCAGATGAAACTGATGACGACAAATCTCACAACAGTAAAATGGGAGGGGTTTGTTCACTTGTCAACTTCCTTATGTTCCTACCTCTTTGCATTCTGACATATCTTTCCATACACCCACACACATATGGGACATTTCCACAAGTTTTACATATTAGAATCTTTAATTTTCTTTTTATCAGCATTATTTCAGTTTATTCGCCATTCTGATTTGGCTTCTTTTCAATCTAGAGCTGAATAGAAAATATTTCGACTAACCAATGTTGGGAATTGAGTTCATTTTTTACTACTCTGGTATGTTATTGCAGAGTTTATTCGTCTTTATTTGCTGTATGTATGGATCACTTTACTTTCATATCTTTCTTAATAGTTGAGATTATTTTCAAACCAGACCAGGTCCAAGCAATTAGGGTAATATAAACAATTGTATTCATAATTTCTGATTGGCGTTTTAGATGCTGGATATTACTTCTCCTTTGTGTGGATATTTCTGATTCTTTTCTCTTAATGATGGTTCAGGTGAATAGTGAATTTCTAAGAGAAAATCTGGAGAAAATAGTTGGTATGGATGATTCTAAATTCAGTGGGATTGACCTCGCAACTATTATTAGGAACAAATATGGAAGGTCTTACGATGTTCAACTGATAAAAAAGGTACACTTTTTACAAGCGAGACTTGATGTAAGATTGAGTTCAGTTTGATCTGTGATTATAGCACTTGTCTCCCAAGCTACGTGTACTGGGAAATAAGCGGAGTTGCTGTTGTCCAGACTTCATTGGCTGATCATTCAAGTAGATTTAAATACTGAAAGAAACTCTGATGCTTTAATTCTCGTAGTTTTCCACCTTATAACATTGTAAGGTTATAACTGAGTTGGAGTGGCTTTTCATATTTTATGGGTTGCATGGTGTGTGCTAGGAATTCATGGGAAGAAATCTGCTTGCCTTGAATGTCATGTGGAAGTATATGGAGCAGGTATTGGCACCTTTTTTCCCCTGGTTTCAGGTCTAAGATGTAATATTATTTATTTAACATCATTCCCTTTCAAAACCACATAGATCTTCGGAGGAATCCACTTTTCTTGTCTCATTTAAAGCCATTATATTTTGATTTTAGAGATCATTCCCATTGAGTGAAGAAGAGTATATATTGAGGCTTGATGACGTAGCGAACACATTAAAGTGTTGGGGAGCTGTGTCACATATACGGAACAGCCTAGCAAAGTCAAAAGAACGGCCTCGCATAGGAAAGGTGAAGTTTTGATCTCATGATTGAATATCAAAGTGATGGATTTGAATTTAGGATATAATCATTTTTTATGTGATTTGGAGTAGGCCGTAAGCATTTTCATAGACATGGATGAGTCTGGTGCTCGCGCTAATGAGTGGATCTACAAATAAATTGGGCCGAACAAATGATGATGATGTGAAGCAGTAGCACCACTTGTGAAGCTTTGTGGACAAAATCTCCAGAAGAATGCTTCCTTAACTTTCTCTTGCATCAGGATAAGGCCACTGCAGGCGTATATAGTTGCTTGGTTTTTCCTTAAAATTTGTCTCCTCACAGAGTAAGGATTTAGAGAATGAACGTGTTATCAGAAAAAGAGAATGAATGTGTTAATATAATGAACATTACATCCGTTGTACTTGAGAGGATATAGAAATGTTTACTTCTATTAGCCTATTGTTCCCTTTTCCGATGAATGAAAGTGACGTCAATAATCTGGTACCAGCAGCTGCACCTGAATGGGTTCCAATTTCCCAACTGTCATACTCGTAAAATATCCCTTGTTATTTATCAACTAGACTTATCCCTTGTGTGATGAACAAGCATGTTCTAGTGTTTAAAATGTGGAGATGAGCTGTGACAATGACTAAAAAGGTGATCATGAAGGGAAAATTGAACGTGGTAGAAAAATAGTTTCAGTAGATTTTTCAATGAGTCAGAATAAGCGTCTCCAATTCGAAGTGCACTTCTTTTTTTAGTCACAAGATACTCGGATGTAAAATGTTGACTGTAACTAAATCTATTCATAATATCTAGGAACTTGCAATCGTAAGTATGGACAATTCATAATATCTAGGATTTTTGCATGAGTAGGGGAAAATCTAGGATAAATGCAAAGTAAAATATCATCAGGAAGATCGGTAAAAGAAACGTTAGAACGTGACATTATATAAAAGCAAGATAAAATGTAACTTAAATATGCCAACAACACCAGTGAATTTGGCCCAAAAAACCCACACGAGTAAAGGTTTCTCTTGTTTATGTGTATTTTCTCTTTTACTATTCACTATTTGTCATCTATATTCGTCCTCCTTTTATTTTTATTTTACGATCTAGAGGTATATATATTATAAAGTAAATAAAAAACTAAGTTTAAAAATCAAGAGAATGAAAAAATTTGGATTTAAAAATAAACATGATTAATATTATTTACTTGGCTATTATTTAAAAATAATAAAATCAAATTAAAAAAACCTTAAAAAGTCGGGAGGCGGATTGAAGCTCAACAATAAGATCTTCGGCTAAAATTCATTCGACAATAATACCGAAGCCTAAGAATTAGATTCCCTTTCTTAAACCACCCGATGTCTAAAATCAAACTCAATAATTGGAATTCAAGCTGGGTCAAGGCCTAAACAAGGAGAATCTTTCTCAAAGGTGCTCTTCATTCACACAGATTTTTCAGCGTAATCCTTTGATACATTGGAAAGATATCATCGCCAACAAAAAGCCAATAAAATATAGTCACTAGCTTGTCCGCGAGAAGACGCTGTTCCCGGCCATCAAATTCAAGGATTCAATCGAATCCTCCTTACAAAAGCCAACAAAACCAGTTCTAGTCAAGGTAGTCGGTGTTGCTGCCATCTTTAATAGCGGTGTCTGCTGCGTCCCCTATCTCTCCCATGATCTCTATTTCGGTCATCATAATCCCAATCACGATCCCTCCCCCTGTCCCTCTCTACATTTCGAATGCCTTGCCTTTCTCTTTCTCGGTCATGTCGATCTCTTTTCCTGTTCTCCACCTCATCACGTTCCCTTCCCCTGTCTCTGCTCCTCTCTCGCCCATCCCTGTCAATCCCTGCCATCAGTATTGGAAAGTACTTGGTTATTTCAGGTCCAGCTAATTCAAAAACGACAGCATTGGCGAACGTGTTCGGCAAGTGTCATCAGGTGGGCTTTTTAATAATGAAAGGAAAGAAAAATTGAGCTCAACCAGCGCTGGAGTATCTCAACTTATTCCCTCATTAGCCTTGAAAGAAATTACGGAGAATAAATCATTAATCTTTTTTCCCTGGCCAAAAAAAAAAAAAATACCTAGGTCCTCAACCTCCCATCCAGCACGCCCAGAACCAGGAAGCACCCTTGCAGCCTCAGCCTGCTGTGTTTTGGCCCGAAATTTCTTCTTCAGATTACCAAATTCATCATACAACTCACCATCGTCCTGAAAAGGTTAAAAAAAATCACAATATAACACAGGATGAGATATACGAGTGTCTGTTCCCATTTTCACGTGATCTTACTTCAGCCTCCCGCCTGCGTCGTTTAGTTTCCTCTATTTCTTCTTCATCAAGCTCTTTGTACCCCCCAGCTCGCCCTCCTCTGTATGGTAAGGAAGTAGGAGCCTAAATCAGCAATGTCATTTCAACAAATTCTTTGATCTTTGGTGGAAATGAATCAGAATGAATTAAGTAGCAATGTGGATAGTAAATATAAATTGTAAAGCAAGAGATAACTACCAATATTGCCCAGGAAACAAGAACACATGTAATAGTTAAAGTCATTACTGTAATGCTAGTCACATTCCAATAAATTTTCCATGTCAAAAACAAAATGTCACTCTCTAGCACAAAAGCTCCTGGCCTTGCACAGCACGGACATCAAATTTTTTTAACACAAGATGAGACTGAGTTCCTCGTATTAAAAGTAACCTGAAAAGCTCAGTTATTTCAGTTGTACTTAGTTAATGGCGTAGTGAAAAAATCAACCTATTACTGAATGATACAGTTATCCTTAAATAACATATTGGTGGCAAGATAAACGTCAATCAGTGAAGGACCATAATCATTCCTTGCCCATGAATCATTTTCATAACAAGTTCGCTCTAGCCATGGTTGTTTTATTCCAGAATCATGTAACTCCACATTATGACAACTCAAATTTCTCCCAACATTTGACATTATGAATTCCAATGTTAAGTTTTCATCAACTAAATGATATCATGCTCCTTACATTGCCTGAAAAATGTCACCTCAATAGTTAAACATTAATAAACTAGAGAAACCCAGTTCTCACTAAAAACAGAAAAACAAACAGTCCGTTACAGACCTACGAAGCAATTACACGAATTAGAAAAAGCTAGTAATTTATCTTCGGACTTCTAATACACATCACACAAACGTAAGATGGTTAGGCCATATTGGACAATTGACTTTGCTCGAATCATTCATATTAATTCTATTATTATCATCGACCAAACAAAAACCTTTAACTTGGAAGGATCCTTTACAGAAACACTCTGATAAAGGAAGAAAATGTGCAGTTCGACCTGAAACCAAATCCTTCTGTCAAGCACAGAAACACGAGCAGGTCAAGGAATTCCAACAGCAGGTAAAGATTATCAAATGGTCTAACAAAAATTTCTAGAGAAATGCGCATTTCATGGAGATTCAGAATCACCATTTTATGTTGCTATTAAATCCCTTTCCCAATATATTGAGTATAATACCACAAAACAACATACGGAATGGCCTACTCAAATGATATCACGATTTAAACCTATATGATCTTAGCTAGCAGTACAGAAATACCAAAAGAATTATAGATAATACCTTACACCACCCTCACTATGACCTGGCTTATTTGTATTGCAAATATTGCATTTAGTTCGCTTTGCCCAGTTGATATTGCCACACCTAACAAAACAAAGAATACAGATGAAGTATATGCACATGTAAGTCCTTTGAGTCAATATTCAAGTTTAAGAAAAGTAAAATTAAGATATGTGTAAGAGGCATAAATCCACTCAACAGGTACAAAATCAGTGTATGATGATATAAGCGACCTTAAAACATGCCAAGTTTTACCAAGCTTCCAACAATATATTTAGCTAAAGAAGAAACTCATAATAATAAGCAATATTATATTAAGCTCACAAATTATTATAGCAATCAATATATTAATATGTCTAATAAAATCAACCACCACCCACATTATTTACAAGCAATAAACAATCCAATTCATCCTCTCTGACGCATATATGGAAACATTTTTCGTTGGAATTAAAAAACATTGGCAGTGCATGATGAAATGCCACAAGGACAGGGATAATAAAGAACGGAATTTCAATAGCTAGACCTCGCAAAGAAACGCAGAAGAAACAGAGGAATGACTGATAATGCTTACCCCAACTGTCATCAAAATCCCTGAGCTAAAAGTCAATTATTTAAAAAAAAAAAAAAAGAATAGAAAAAAAAGAAAAAGGCACCGATCTTACGGAGCGCAAAAAGGAAGTTCTAATGTGTCTGCATCAATGACACCAAAAAGTATCACTCCTGATTTAGACTTCTTTGAAAACATAGGTCACAGCATCTTATATGGATATAAGCAGATATCTATCTCCATCACACACCTCTATACCCATCTTCAAATCGTTTGATTACAGTTTCTTCTACGTTAAATAACATAAAAGTGGATAACTGAGCAGAATGTTTTATCTCATGTAGCACAGAGAGGCAGGAGTTCTAATGAGTTGGCATCAATGGTGCCAGAAATTGTCACGCTTGAGCCTTCATTACACACATGGGTCATAGGGGTCTCATACAGATATACAGATCTCTCTCTTCATCTCACACTGATTCACCCATCTTCAAATTGCCTGATTACATTTCTCCTAAGCTGAATAACACCAAAATCCCGTTACGTAAAGTATTCATATGCTATCATCAAAGCAACAAAACTTAAAAGTACACCAGAAATATATATATTGAATAAAAGTGAAATGGGAGAACACTGTTATTTTACTGTCTATTGACATAATTGTTTTTACTTTTCCAAACAATCATTAAGGGAAAAATATTTGAAATCCCACAGCAAATGCACAGGATTAATGCTGGTTTCAAATAAAACCGATTAAAAAGAAATCAGACCAGAAAATTAAAAGAAAAGAAAAGAAACAGAGTACACAGTCATACATAGGACAAGGCCAATCATTAGGACCAAAGAGTCCTCCACCAGCGGGACGCCCAACGCTCCCAGAATCCTGCCCAGTACGTCCCCTACCACGGCCACCAGCCCCTGCAGCACCAGCAGCACCAGCAGGGCGAGCGCTTCCACAGCGATTGCATGCACCACGAAATGCAAAATTCACATTGGAACAACTGCTTCAAAAATTCAACATGAATCTTTCTGCATTGAATCATATATAACTACTGAAACAGTGAGTAGAAGAGCAAGAAAGAGCTGCTCACCAATCTCATATCACAGACCTTGTATTCGGACACAACCAATCGCCTTCTTGTTGCCACGCTTTGCCTGAAGAATCACTTCGACCTCTACCTCTTCCACCACCTCCATTCACATCCATGTTAGTTTCCTCCAGTTCACCAATGGGGCCACCAACATTTGGTTCACCAGCTGCACTATATGCTTGCTCATCCTTGCTCTTTGATTCTGCTATATAAACTCCAATAATACTACCATGAAAGTCTTTGTTGTTAAACCATTCA